TGAGTGGAAGTGGTCCCTGCCCATGGCAGGGGGGCTGGAACTAGATGATCTTTAAGGTCCCTTCCAACCCAAACCATTCTATGATTCTATGATCTTACAGCAAGGTTGTGTTCTCATACGGCAGAGGAAAGCGCTCGTGCAGGTGGTAAGTCAGCCTTCAGCAGGGAGAGCCCTCGTCTTAACACATCTTACAGCAAGGCTCGGAGCGTCCCAATCTATGTAAGGGTGCCAGCAAGGCACTCAGGTAAAGCGTTACAGTCTAACAACGTATCTCACCTCTTCATCCGGCAGATACCTAAATCTGGTCCGTCATCAGCAGACGGCACGTTTATCAGCACACTGTGGCACCCCTATCAGTGATTGCACCTCGTCTCCACAGAGGGCTGGTGCAACGAGTGTGGCGTGCAGGGGAAGGGCTGTGCCCGTCACCAAACCTGTGGCCACTGTTTAGGCATGACCACTTCGGAATGGCAGTGTGAGCATGAACACTACAAACCACCCGACATCCCGTTCTTATTCCTGCTCCTTGGATGTTGCCTGACCCAGGCAAAAGAAAAGCACTTCTCCAGCGAGGGAAGCTGTCTCCTGTGGGGCTGGGCTGGTCTCCCCATTGAGCTTTCACACTTCCAGGGCTTGCAGGTGTCTGAGGTGTGTTCGTAAAGAGAGTAGGTAATTAACAGCCACTGGCCTCCTGCTGCATGGGACCAGCTGCTCTGAAATTATCAGCTGCTCTCTTGGGACAAGGATATTTCCAGCAACAGGTTTCTATGCAAAGGGGTCTCTGGTCTCTCCTCCGTCCCTTGCAACCTCTTCTTATTTCTCTGCTGCTCTTTCTCCAGTTGTTTTGCAATCCCCCGTGCCAGGGACCGGAAACAGGTTTCAGACACCGTTCTCCAGCTCCATGTCAATAGCTCCAGGTGACACAGGCAGTGCAAGTAAAAGCTTGCTGACTGTTGACACAACCATGTCTTGTTGACACAAGAACGAAAACAAAGAACAACAGAGGAGGACTATTCAAAGGTTGATTGTGCATTTTTCTGGTTATGGGGGACATATTCTTTCCCCCTTTATTCCCACCCCTCACCAAAAAAAAAGAGGTTAAAGGAAAATAGCTTGGGTCGTATCTCCAACAGAGCTGGCACAGAACTGCTGAAACGCTGGCATTTCGTCAGTCCCCCTGAGGTGAAGTTCTGCCGGCCCTATATAAACACGTGTTTACACAAAAGTGAGGATCACCCTACTATTACAAAAGCCATGAGTAATTCCAGAAGTAACCCAGGGTTATAGAGAAAATAAAAGGTTTTTATTTTCAGGTTCTTTACCAGTTGCACAGAGTATTTGATCAAAAAGTTTTCCTTGCCAACCGACTGGTGACTTTTCTATGGTGCCACTTCAGAACATTTGTTTGGTGATAACAAGCCTTTGTTATTAGCAACTTATCCAAAGCCACAGGTAGGAAGAGATAAACTGTGCAAATAAAGGGGTATCACACACTGCCAGTACTGCTAAGGTTATAAAAGGCACATTTCCCCTGAAATAGTCATAAAACATCGAGGGGTTAACTGTGAACTAAGATACTGCTCAAATCAGTGAAATTCACCCCAGAAAAGCAGACTTAACAGTCCACCTTTGAGCCTTAAAAGGGATTTTCTTGATGCACAGGCCAGGAACTGGCTAGTTTGATGGGGAAAGGGAAAAGTGCTTTACGTGTAAGGGGAAGGAGCAGCCTCCAGCTGTCTCGTGGATCCAGTCCAAAGACAATATGAACAGCTTGTTGATTATGGCTGGCTTCAGAGCAGGCCTCTAGCACATGAGCTTTGGGAAGCTGAACACAGATGTGTCTGCAGAGAGAACAAATCCTTCCCGGGTCCGTCATGGGATCTTCCCTCTGCAAATCTCATCTATCAACTCTTGAGTAACACAGGCTGCCAGGGTGATGCTTTGAATGAAGCTACATCCATCCCTCCCCAGACTGCTATTTTCCTTGATACTCTGGAGATGGTGCTGTTTACAGACCACAAGACACTGGTGGTGCTGCTCTGTATGAAACATCCAACAGCAGGCAGACAAAACAATAGAGAGGTAAGCCGTTCTAGAAAACAGCTCATGTATTTTTTCACTTGCTGCAGAAGGACTTCCATCATCTCACAGACGTTTCTAGATGGCAATAAGCTTTAACATTTCCCTCGTGCATCACTCGCTGGTCACAGTTTTACAGTTTTGTTGCTAGTAAGTTCACGAAGCAGATATTTATTGAGCATTTTGTCTTGACACACAGTCCTAGCTCACCAATGCAGTTATCACTAACTTCAGGCCTTGTTATAACATCCCTTCAAAGTAAGAAAAGGCATGCTTTTGCTGGCCTATGCCCAGACATATGTAAATTTATGCAAACACATGCAAATAAACGTCTGCTTTTTTGTCAGCAGATGTTGGCAGGTTTGTGGATGTGATGTAGTGAGAAGCAATAGCAAAACAGCAGAGAGGAGGGCTGAGAAAGTCGAGATGATCTCTGCATTTCTTAAGAGCTTTTGTTCAAGTCTGCTAAACAGTTGTTTATACAGTCCAGGTCTGCAAGACTGACAAGTGCTTTAGAAAACCCCATCCCATTGAGTTAGTGGTGATCAAGGAAGTTACTGCAGTGATTTAAGACAACTGCCCTTCATCTTATTGTTCAGCCCTGTTTGAAAAAAATAACTTGTACAACATTGAGAAATCAGCGAACTATAATTCAGAATGTGTACTGACATCCTCTGTGAAAGGGTTGTGAAAACATGGCTTTCACTCCCTTCAGGCATCTACCTTCAATTCTATTGACCCGGCAGAGACACTATGGCCAGTTGATTGCACAGCAATTCACAAATCATTTCACAGAAAGAATAAGAAGAATCTGTTAAAATGCCCCTCTAGATAAGAATGGGAATCGGAGCGCACTTACCACATTGCACTCTGACCCTGCTGTCTACAGACCCACACGGCTCAGAGGTTTTCTACCCCGTCCATGCCTCAAAGAGCCAAAGGAAACCTCTGCCTCCTACACCGGCATCAGTTCAGGTGAGGGTTCAGCTCCTCACGCTGAGGTGCTTCCAGGGCTATTCTTTGCCCTCAAAGCTGGAGACTTGGATTGGATCAGATGTCTCAGGAATCCCTTCACTGGGAAGCACTCATGAGCCACATGAACCTGCACTGCTGAGAACCTGCCCCACCGACTTGCTCTTACAGACATCTGTTTTCTTTCCTTGGGGTGGGGTGAGAGTCTGTGGCAGTGGACAGCTGCTTCAGCTTTCTTCCACAAAGAAGCAGCAGCTTGCAGGAACTCTCACTTGGGAGTCTTTGGTTCAGATGTCCATTCACTCAGGTGAAACACAGCCACGGATGACTCCTCAGGCTGACTTGGTCTATGCCATCCAGTCTTTTCCCTCCCCTCAGGTTCCTGCTTTCCAAGGCTAGTACAAACGATGGATGTAATTGCACATCACAAAGGCTTCAGCATTTCAACCAGTACCTCTGTACAGGACCTAACAAAAGGCACAGTTCGAGTGTGTCTTAGAGCAGTATTTTTCAACCCTTTATAGCCAAACTACCATCCTGTGTTCCGTCACCACTGCGGGTTTCCGTTGCCACCAAATCAAAGGTTGGCTGCACTTCAAACAATTGCTAGTTTATGTAATAGCCATTTGCTTTGCTTGCCTTCTAGCTTGCAAGCAGTGCTTGTGGTTAGTATTCTCTGTCAACAAAATGAAGTTTTCCTCAGTTTGAAAGCTCATCTTCTGGTATCTTATATGCTACTCGTGATCCACAGATTGAGAAACACTGTCATCCCACCCTGGTGTATAGACTCTAGGAGCAGGGATGTGTTGGTTAACCATCCTCACAGTTTTTCTAAGAGGCCTTGTGCAATCAGCAAGCTGAAGTTGAAGCCATTCCAGAAATTCCAGGCAACCTAGGATCTGGCATTTTGGCGACAGGAAAGGAATGCAGACGCAACTTTCCCTTTCTTCAGCAAATGCCTAACCTGCCAAAAAATGTAGAAGTTCATAACATACCATCTGACACTGTGCATGCAGACAGCCCAGTGCATGCACACACACTTACATACAGGTGTATGTGTAATGAGATACACAGATATCAGAGCCTACGATGAGCTCCAGGAGATTCTTCCTACCTGTAGGCATGAAACACGATCACTCCTAGAGATTTGCCACCACTATGGAAGAACTACACATCGATAACTCCTCAGATGTACCTGGAGTACCAACTAATGCCTGCTTTGTGCTCCTTGATTACAGATTTACTGAAATGGGGAACCCCCAAACCTACACCACTGCAATGTCAGACCCATGTCATATGGCTTGTCCTCACTGTTCCCCTGGCAAGGACAGACGGTTGTGGTGTGCAGAGATGTGTTAAGAAGAAACAGCCACGCAGATCACGTACCTGATCCCCAGCCTTTCCGGAAGGAGCCATGTGGATTGGCTGATCGTTGTCTAAGTTTCGGATGCTTGGGTCTGCTCCGTGGTCGAGGAGCAACTGGACGATTTCTTTCTGGTTCTTGTCACGAGGCAATGCAGCTGCCATATGCAAAGCTGTGTTGCCATGTGCCTAATGCAGTGGAAGAAAAAGAAGGAAAAGAAAAAAAAAAAGAGAAACCTCTTGATAAGCTGTGCCACCTACTCAGAACTGTCCTAGAAATGGAGACTTACAAAATGAGAGCTGAAGAAGCCTCACACGATTACTTACTAGGGAGTGAGGGAGTATCCTTGCTCTGTTTCCCCCATGTACTTCTGCTCATGCAGGAGATTCGTGGATTTAGATTTTATTCTCTGATAGAGTACTACAAACTGGGGGGCTTTGATGCTTTGGGTACAGCTAATAAATAGTCTTGTATCAGCAACATTCTTAATCATTCTTCAAACTCCTGCTAAAATGTACCCTTATTTAAGCAGAGGCCTGATGAGTTATTTGAAAACGAGAAGGATAGGGGCCATGTCACATGCACTTTCCTTCAGGAGAAACAATAGGAGCTGTTTCACTAGGAAACATTTACGTCAGCTCAAGGGACACGAAACACATTGTGCTGTGTTACATCACACATTAGGCTATGCAGGGAGCAACAACAGCAGAACCATTTGGGATTCACACATTTCCGACTACTCCCTTTCGCCTTGCAAGCACCAGAAGATTGCAAAGAGAGCTTGACACAAGTGAAAGGCAGACCCGGTAGCGTATAGGTTATACGAGAGGCTCAGACTGATCTCCTGGATACCAGACATCTTTGGCTGTTCGAGTCCCACCAGGTCACCAAACTCGCGGCATTAAAAAGAGGTGCTTTGAAGGGTACCAAGCCGTCCTGGTGGTCCAGCCGAGCCAGAGGTGTCCCTCAGTGACTCCGTGTGCTGTGAACCCAACAGGGCTGCTGGTGGCTTGGCTCTGCAGCAGACAAAATAAATCATCCTGGGCTCCAAACTTCCTCCTGGTTCCTTCCCAGAGTGATGAAGGTCGTGCTTGGCCTTATTTTCACGGCACTGTCATTAAGCAGAGTCCTGAGGTCAAGGGCCAACTTGACCTCATACTGATTTTTCAGTAAGAGGATTTGCACAGAAACGATAGGCAAAACGTGCTGTGAAGCCACGCGGGGGCGTAGGACGGAGCATGCTGCAGTTCGTTGCAGAGAAGCTCTGCTATCACCAGACCGTGTAGAAATCTGTGCCCCTGCCTAGTCAGGTATGACTTGTAACGGTTTTAAATGAGAAAAACCTAATAAACAGATGCATAAGGCAAGGTATTTTTAGTCTGCAAGAAGCCTCATTTAGGCAGCTGTATATTTTTTTCTCTCTGAAGCGATCGTTCATTTCTCATGAACTTGGAATGGTTGGACACCAATTGCAATTGGTATTACTACTCAGCTGTAGAAAGATATTGTCGAAAGGATTTTCAGGTCCTATTTACCAGTGAGACATAATGGACACTGAAGCCCAAAACAAAGCAGCAAAATCTTAACAGCTGTTCTAAGGCATTTTTTACAAGCCCTGAACAAACAGATCCTTGTCAATTTTATCATTCCAGAGAATCAGGGGATAGTTACAAACTCTTTACAAGACTTCTCATGAAAATGGAAACATCTGCATTTGTTTGCTGCATCTTTGAGGCAGAAGCACTTGACAGCTTCCAAATCCAGCCATGGGGCTGAGAAACCCAGGCAGTCTGACAATGCCTGACCTTGACACCTCTCCACTGACTTTAACAGGGCTTATGCCAGACAGCGGTCCACAGCACTGATATGTAGGCTCTAGGAATCCTTCAGGTGATAAACAACCCAAAGGCTTCCATGTTTTTTTCATTGTGAAATCCACGAGGAAGTGGAATTGGAATGAGACAACAACAGCAAGCAGTGGGTGAGCCAGGGAAGCCAAAACATGGGCTCCAGCACCCCTCTTTCCTTGGCTTCTTCATACTTGGAAGAGCTAAAAAGCCAGGATGGGTATTAGACAACTTTGCCATCATATTTCTCACTGTCCCAGACAGCTTACCAACAAGACTGAAGACTCCAAGTGATCCTATCACAGTGGGAAGCTCTCACAGGATTGTGATCAAGAGACAACAGCAGACTCCTACGAACAAGCTAGCACCTGCCTAATGGGTCTTAAAAGATACAGAAAGAATGTAGTGAAAAAGGCAGTGTAAGGCCCTTCACTGTATAGAGAGACAGAAACTCAGTGTTATTACCCACATAGACAAAGCAAAACCTGCTTCCTCCACTCCAACAGAAATCTGTAGGGGGAAAAAACCCATGAGGCTGCCCAGTATCTGCTTCCTAAGTGAACAAATGAGTTGATAGAAAACATTCAGTGTCTTCCTGGTGGACACAGGCACGTGGATGCTCTCGGGAATACAAGCAAGGCTAAAGAACTCTTGAAATGAAAAGCTACTGCACTGACCCTCTCAAACCAGGGAGCCCTGGCCTTGTCCTTCCCTCCTTATCCTTTCCTGCTCAAGGGTGCCCTTCTGCAGACACACCCAGACCCCACTTAGTCCTGCTGAGACAGGGGAGCTCGCCAAGAGCCAAAGCTCTGGCTGATGGTGCAGAGTGATGTCTCAGCTAAGGCTCAGGAATGTCAGGGTTTTTGCTTAGGAGGAGGGGTGAAACTGATACATCTGCAAGATAGTGTCACTGCTTGGTATCTGCTCAGAGGTCAAGTATGGGGCAGCAAGGGGATGGGTGACACAACATCAGCACTGGGAAGGTTTCCAGCTTGCTTTATACAACTTAAGAAACCCTGCACTCAAGACTCAATGTTAGCAAAACTTCAGCTCAGTAAGCAGGGGTGTATAGAGTGCCTAAAGCAGGGTCTTGAGCCCCCGGAGTCAGAGGTGGTCTACTTGCCAAAGTGCCTAGGTCCCTACATGCTCAGCAAGGATGCTGACTTGCCTCCAAGAGCTGGTTTCCCCATGCTTCTCCTGCCTGGCAGTGCCAGCCACTGGTTCACTGCCTGTAGCATGTGTTTTTCTTCTGTTACTGCTCCTGGCAGCTCTTAGGGCTTGGTGAGCCTCGTGAATATTTTTATTCTCCAGCCTCAAACTTGCAGGCACAAACAGAGCCAGAAGATTTGCAAATAACGTCTAAGGCAGAAAGAGTCACCGTCCCCCTTAACTGACATAGAAGCTTCGTCCTTGCTACGGATGGTGTGTTTGACAGGAGAGATTACCTGATGCATGGCTGCCCTAAGCTGCTGTCTTTCAGTATTAGACTGCTGCCAACAGCAAGCCATTGCATCACTGCAGATCTGTTTTCTCAATATTCAGCCTAATGTAATAAAGTTTATGTTCCTCCTCAAGCAATCGCTTCCCATGTCCTTCCTCTTCCCTGGTTATCTCGCTCTCTCATTCTGTCAGCTTCTTCCTGCTGGGAGAGGGGCCTGTGTTTCATGACACAACTCAGACAACAAGCCAGGAAGTGCTTTCCAGGTGAACTGTCTATTCATTGGAAAACACAGTTTCAGCCTACAGAAAAAGTTCAGATTCACAAACTGCTGCTCTTTTGCCTCCAGGAAAAATGTGTGTTGGAAAAGTATAACTGGCTTCTGCAGGATGCCACAGATCTCCTAATGCCTCTGCCTGCAAGCAGCCTCCCACCTCCTCACAGCTCTCACACTGTTCACGGCATCTCCTCTGCCTGTGGATGTGCACCCAAATCTTGTCCATGCACAGCCAAACTCACCTTGTTGTTGACAAAGTCCTTGGACTTGAAAGCATTCAGCTCCAAGAAGTATCTGAGCAGGGAGATGTTCCCATCCTGGACTGTATAATGAATAACCGTCTTGTTGCTTTTCACATCCTGTTTAAAACCAGGAAAACCAAACAAAATAAGAAACGTTCTGCAAAACAACCTGAAGACATCATATAAACCCACTGGAGAACAGTCCAGGCCAGCTCTACAGCTAATGTGGAGCACCTCCTTCCCTTCCGTGGCCCTCTTACTGTCCAGTGTTTGCTTCAGGCTGCAAGAAAGTGACTCCAAAAGGCAGCAACTAACTCTGCAACCAGTCACTGGAAAAGGGAACAGGTTTGTTCCTTCTGTCAGCAGTTCATTCCTTCTCCAGTTCTATAGTCTGAGCATAGAACAAGCCTCAGGCAGGCCAGAGGACAATTCCCGTGCAAATACACAGCTTAAAGATAACTGGTCAGCAGTTCATTCCTTCTCCAGTTCTATAGTCTGAGCATAGAACAAGCCTCAGGCAGGCCAGGGGACAATTCCCTGTATTTGTAGACAAATACACAGCTTACAGATAACTGAGCTGATCCCTTACCCGGCTGTAGATGGAGGCGCCTGTCTGCACCAGGAGGTGGATACAGGACTCCAGCTCTTCACTCTGGTGCTGAAGATCTTTCTGCTGCTCCTCTGTCAACGTCTGGCAACCCTGCTCGCGGAGCAGGGCATTGTGAGCCAGGACAGCACAGTGGAGTGGGGTATGTCCTGGAAAACCAAGTAAGGGAGGGAGATAACAAGAGTCCCAACAGGGGTATTGATAGAATCATAGAATGGTTTGGGTTGGAAGGGACCTGAAAGATCATCTAGTTCCAACAGAGGGGAAGCGAGGGCTGGCAGGGAGAGAGAGCACACATCTCTGCACGTGTTGTGAAGCCCTTTTCTGGTTACAAAGGTACCAAATAGACATTTCATGGGGCACTCAAGCATGTGCTGAGTTCCAAGTGTGCATTGAATCCTCACTGAATCATCAGCACGATGGAATTCTGTGGCATTTGAATGCACAGCGATGATGGGGGGTTGGAACTAGATGATCTTTAAGGTCCCTTCCAACTCTAACCATTCTATGATTCTATGATTCTATGATTCTCTCCCCGAGGCAGTTTCTGAAGCCACTCTGGCCTCCTAGCACACCACCAAATACCAGTGAGTATCACTCAGTGGGATAGCCAATACAGCTTTTTCATGTTTTTAATATCACTATAAAAATTTGTACAAAGGGTCTTACCTTCAAAATCCTTAATTTCTAAATCAAGAGGGAAACCTAGTGACAGTATAACCTAGAAGCAACAGAGAAATGGAAAATGTCAGTTCGGCAGAAGAGTGTCCAAGACAAAATCAATCAAAACTAACATTTTAAAACAAACAGTCGATCACATAATTATCATTTAACTACAAACCAAGCCCTTACTTGACACTAGACTTCAGTGCTGTGAATCTGTTTCCTAACACGGACATTCAGGGCTACCCAAGATGATCACGTTCCCTATAGTTTCCTAACCCCACGCCCTAGGTATAGCATCCTAATAGATTCTCAGTTCAGAACAATACAATTAAGTCCCTTCCCCACGCTCAGGAGTGCTAGCCTCCTCACTTTCACCCTGGATTAAGCAAAGACACCAATCACATTTATTCAGAGTTATTCTTGACAAGGATAAATGAAAATCTCTCTTTAACACGTGTGGCCAAACTTTATCACCTAAAAGTTTGCTGACACTAGAAATTCTCAGACTGGATTTATTTACTTTTTCTTTTTAAGGTGCAGCAGGTGTGCAGCAGTGTGACAGGCTAAAACTACAGCTTGTTGCAGTGGATGCAGCACCTATAAATGGCATGAAATAGTGGTGTGGACATGAACATTGCTTGGATTTAGCAGAATAAAAAACTCTTCAACCTAAGAAAATGGTAGGTTTTGATGTGATGCAGCCAAGTAGCTCCTTGTCTGTATTATCACAGGTAATATATTTTTTGCTCTTGATTGAATAAAGCAAGTTGTTCACATTACAGCATCTTGGCTGAGAATTTTTGCAATGCAGTGACTCATCCAGAACCTTGTCAAGTTAGACAAGGTGCAGGACAGCATCCTTCTGCAGAACAGTTAGGGCTTGTACTCTCACTTCGTAACAATAACATAATATATCCAGGTCAAATATTGACAAGCGACTCTAATCTGATTCATGATTAGAGATTAGATGTCAAATCCATTAGAAAAGAAAAAAAAAAACCAAACCTAAACACCCAACAACAAAACAAAAACCAAACCAAACAAAAAAGGCATTTCATGGCTTTGACCCCACTAAGAGGCAAGCCTGTGTGCATGCTCCCTTGCTATGCCAAGGGGGAAAAAAAAAAATCCAAAGAAAAACAAACCGCAAGCCACCATAAGGCACTCTGCAAGGCTCCGTTGGAACAATCTGGATGTAAAACGCTTTTCCGCACGGAATGAAACACCTGTTTTCCAAAGAATATGCAACGTTACACATTAACTGACTTAACCCCGTGACCAAAGCCAGGGCAGAGCTAACGAATGCTGGCAGGGGACTGCCAGCATGCCAGGTACCCCCTGGCACTTCCACTGACACATCCTTCATCCTCAGGGGACACCGTGCCCGCCCCTCAGGTAAACTCGGCGGCAGCAGCGCTGCTGCAGTGAAGCTCTGCACTGGAGCTGCCCATGCTCGGTCCTGACATGAATCAAGGCAGGCAGGGTTTATTAATTCAATGTTAGGGCTAATAACTGAGCATTTAAGAGACACATTCCAGTATGTTTATCTCTGCTATGCAATCCCTTCCAAAAAGGCCCACAGTGCCTTTTCTAATGTGGTAGTTTGCTCTGCAGCAGTTGGGATCTGGCTAGCACACAGCTGAGAGGTAGACCCTGCCTACAGAAAGATCTGGGAAGCAATAGGGATGGAAAGATCTGGTCACCTAAGTTATGAAACTCTGGTAGATCCTGGCCATACAGGAGTGTCTAGCTGCTGTCATACCCTGGAAAATCTTCCTCGATTGATCTTGGTTTTGCATAAAATGTGAAAAACATGTCTCATTTCGAAGGTTGTGCCTGTGCTGATTCTGCCTGCGGGGTCACATCTGCCATCTCTTCAGCCGGCTTGAGTCTGGGCATAACACGTTCCTGCTGTCCGGATGATGCTGACATCTGGATCACACTGATATTGCTCCCCCTCCTCACACCCCACAGCTGCCTGAAACATCTGGGGAACCCCCTCCAGCACAGGCATTGGTACAATGCTTGGGGCTCAAGCCAGAGCGAGTCCTCTCTGCCCAGCCTGCCATCAGCAGGTTGACAACCACGATCCGCAGAAAGAATTTATCTTCCCCCACAGATACATTAAAGCCATTTCCTCTGTGACAGGAGGCTGATGGTAGATGCAAGTATAGTCCTACAACAGGAGCAGCCTAGGAAGTTGATTCCTGACATGATGGAAAAGGAGATTTTGGTCAGTCTTCATTGCTTACTGACATCTTGCCTTCAAAGACAGTTATTTCAAGACACCATCATTGAGACTTTGCTGTAGTTTTATATTGCTAGCAATTAAAACCATAAAAGCTTTTCTCACCTGAAGAACTTGGGCATACCCATAGGTTGCAGCAAGATGTAAAGCTGACTGCCCTTTGTTGTCTACGGCATTGACGTCTGCTCCTGTCTGGATCAAATCATAGACAATAGCTGGCTGTCTGGCAGTGACGGCCACCAGCAGGGGAGTCTGAAAATAGCAGCACAACAGATAAAATGTGAATCTAGAAGCAGATGCTACCATAGAACAATGGGGAAAGGCAGTGTGGGCTGAACGGTGTCTAGAATCCCAAGGACTGTGGTACATAAGCTGAAGACAGCTCGCAGCAGGACTCTGAACCCCACATATTGGGACCCACGGTGTCACGAGACAAGGGGCATTTTTTTTGAACTCCCTCTAGTGTTCTTCAGCCCTAAACTGGGTGACAACCCAAGTCCAGCATTTTTGAAACACTGTTTATGGAGAGCACTATGAATCTGTTGTTCATAAAACCTTGGCCTCAGAGACTACTCCCAACATACACATTTTCCTGGACCAGTGTTGTCTTAGACCACCTTATGACCCACGGACTGAAAAGGGAAAAAAACCCATTCTCATCCCACCTAATTTTAAGATCCTGCCAGAGGCATCTAAGCAAGGCCTAAGGCTTCCTTTGCAGTAAAAGAGAAACAGAGCTGGATTTTTCAGGGCATCATTTGCTTTCAGTCATGCAAAGCCCATGCCCATCCCTAACACTGCTGCTTACAGGAGAAAGTGGTCTGTATTACCTTTCCTCTGTGTTCCTTGGCATCAAGTCTTCGCAGCAATTTCATGCGCTCTGCAGCTGCCAGTGTATACGCCCTCATACCTTTAGCTGCATAAATATGTAGAATTCTAAGACAGTAAATAAAGACACTGATCACCGCTTGGCCATGAACCACCCTGGGAGCAAACAGTTTTACAGGGTAGGACAGCCACTTTGGGGGTTTTGTACCCAGTGTTCCACAAAACCATGCCATAAGCCGCAAAGGGCTTCACCTTGAAATCACCCACTCCCATGAAAAAGGCTCCCTACCTCAAAATAACTGCAGCTTTCTAGACCCCTCAGCATTCTTGAGTTTTGATATGCTGTTTCCTTTCCAATTCAGCCCTTTTTTTCAGGTGAGATTCACCCTTGTGCTGGGAGCTAAGTCCTCCACAAAGCCTAGTGTTGGGTCCCGGCGTACCACACCATATGGTGGTACATACCACTGTTGGGGTGATGCAGCCTTGCCTGCATTGGTGAAGTGTCACCATCCAGGGTGACAAACAGCCTCTTCTAAATGGTGTATTTGTGAACAGCCTGTTAAGCTCTATCACTTTATCAAAGCTACTGGTGAGAGTCCTTATCTTGGGCATAAGACAAAGAGCTGTCTTGCTGGTGACATGGGCCTTAGCAATGAGGAAAACACTGCACTGCTTCACTTTTCTTGCCTTGCTCTATGGCTGGAGCTGGCAAGGATTACACACAGCTACTCGCCACTTCCATTCCTCCAGGTCCTATTTGCAAGGGCAGCGGGCACGCACAGGTAGCTTTGCACCTCCCCTTTGCACAGGAGGACACCATCCTACAGGAGGTCATACCAGCCCCTGGGTTTGTTTTGCTGCAGACACCAACATTTGATGCTTTTTAGTCAGAAGGTAGTAGGCAGTCGTTTCTTTCCTCAGGTAATTTTGTACCCCAGAACCACATCTTGCAATTTTAGGAAGTAGAAATGCAACCTCATGGCTAGTCTCATTTTCAGTCAACATCAGCATTAGCTATGGCTACACACCCACACATCCCCAGGGATGCCAGTGGAGGAGAAGAGCGATTGAACTAACAGCTGAACTGCAGGATTGCTTCTGTGAGTGAGGACAGCTTGTGTAAACAGCACCTCCAGGCCATATTTGGATCATGGAGTTCCTCCTTAGTCTGCCTTAATGTGGAAAATTAGCAGAAAGTCTAACAGCTACTCGGCGGTTCTAGCCTGTACATATGTTATTGAACTAAGTGATTGCTAAACAAATGTTGGGTTACCCTTCTGGATAGGAAATAAAACACTCTAGGCGTATGAAAGTTACCGTAGATCTTTATTGAAAAAGATTGTGTCTTTTTCTAACCAGAACAACCCAGAAAGAAATTCTGAAACAGTCCATTCATTGTTTTATATTCACACACAGAATTTACATACATTGGAGTGAAAGAAATTTAAAAGCAATCTTAGCAACCACAGGCTTGATTCACAACTGCATTATCCCAGTTTTACCTACCGAATGTCTTTGTGCTTACAAAACTGGAGTAAGCAGTGGTGAACTAAGCTCTTTCTAATTAATTTCTTTGCTGGGTTTTTCTGCAAATGTAAGCCACTAATTTCAATGCACCTGAACTACTGCTATTTTCAAACAACTTTATGGTCACTTACATGATGTATTGCTTATGTCTTCCAGATTTGTCAGCATTAAATAACAAAATATGCTTTGAAAGTCCTCAAGACTTTTGACCTGAGCTTGCAAACCTCACTCAGGCAGAAACTGTAAGGTCACTTGAAATTTGCCTGGGTGGCAACTGGAGTGCTGGACACCAGGTAATAAGCAGTGCAATAAATTATTTTGCAATCAGTCTTGCAAATAATAAAATCACCTAAGGATCCTGGGCTTTAGAAAGCAGAAAAACCCAGAGAAATTGTGTTCACCAGCCAAGAGACCCTTGTTCATTAAGAAAACAATAAACAGCGTTAGAAGGGGATGTATCTCCTACAAATCTATTTGCCTGTGGCATGGCACTCCTGAAAATCAACAATAACATTTACAGTTGTATCAGAGGAAAAAATAAAGCTACTCATTCCCCGGGAAAGAAAATCAGAAAGCTATGAAGAAAACGCATGCACCTGCGTGCCTGAGGGACACAGCACAGAGAAACTTTCCATTGCAGTAAGGCACAAGAGAGGTCACTAAGGTTCCCTGGCTCAGCACGACATCACCAGCTTCACATTCAAAGACTACAGAACAAACAGAAGTATTGCTGGCTAATAGCAAAGCCATGAATTCCTTGTTAGTCTGAAGTCCAGATTTTGGAAGACCCTGTCTTCGCAATGATCTCCTGATATGGGGCCATGTCTTGCAATCCTGACTCAGGCAAAACTCCCGGTGACTTCAGTGGGACCAGGATCTGTCCATTGGTAGAACACGCAGCATTACCAGCCAGCCACAGAATCAGCCCCCCATCTCCAAGGTGGATATTTTGGAGTCCAAAAACATCCTGCAGCTGAAAGGCCATGACTCCAAACCACCGTCCCACACCTACGTGGCTGTCTTCCAGTGGTGGACAAGGCGAGACCTTCCAGTTACACCTTTGTGTGTTTTTAAACGCTTCATCCAGGCCACTTTGTGTTGCTCTGGAAATAGGGATGTCTGACTGCGCTGCTGTTTAGTTCAGCTCTGTTGACTTTTTGTCCTCAGACCAACGCACCCTACCCGCACCCATAAAACAAAACTACATTTTCCTATTTTGCAAAGGGTCAGCTCAATTTAGGGGAAGTAAAATGTCACTTTAAGCCCCAAAAATGTTTTCTAGTGGCCTCGATCAGGTAGAAGTTTCTCCATGGACAGGGCAAAGACACACACACAAGGCGTTTATGCTGAGCTCTAGAAAGCAGTCCTATTGAACGAGGTCTTGACAATATTTAGAGGCAAGTGTACCCTCACCAAACGCTACAGTTGGCCACGGCTATGCTACAGTAGGTCAATTTGAGACCATGTCCCGTGTCCGAGGATGAAAATCACCTCGTGCTGATGCTGAGCACAAGAGCTACGCAGTATAAAAAGCCTGCCTGGGAGAGATGGCAGGAACTGGAACAGCAGAGAAATCTTGTGCTGGGCCCCAGGACAAAGCAAGTTTCACACAACACACAAGTCATGGTGTGCTAGAGGGGGACACCAAAATCGCAAGTAAAGTTCCCACCCCACCCCCCAGCCTGTTTTTCCTCTGTACTCAGAACTCCCTGAGGGTACCAAGTGGAGTACTGAGTAGGTGAGGACCAGGCCCCAGATGTGCAACTTAAAGCCCTTCAACAGAGAGAGCATGGTTTAAAACATACGTATCATTGTCTTCATCTTCCAGAAGCAGCTTCTCAATGGGCAGCGTGCCGATGACTCGTCTGGCATCCTCCAGCTCCTGGGGGGCTGGTTCAGGAATGGAGATGGGCAAGGGCACAAACTGCGGCCCAGGAAGGGTGGAAGAAGCTGACTGGTACTGCAAAGTGGAGGCTGGCAGCGCAGAGAGGGGCTGAGCCCATGGGAAGTACGTGAGAGGTGGCTGCTGATCTGTCACCTCCAGCTGAGGCACTACAGAGGGGGTGGTGCTTCGGGGCTGTTAAAATAGAAGAGACATAAAACAAAATAAAACAAATGGCCAGCTGGAATGGGGGGAGGACACAAAACAACAGACTAAGGATGCCCGGTCGCACTTTTAACATCCCTTTTCCTGTCTCCCTGGGTAAAGCCTTGTACCGAGTGTGACAGGTTTCCCACGCTGGCTCCCATGAGAGCGGTGGCTGTGGGTGTCCCAGGTGCTTGCTGCCAGTAGCTCACACTCATGTCAAGTTCCCTCTAGCTTTCTGTTCCCACTCCCACCCTCACCATGAGACAGTTACACCCCGTGCTGACAACCACCGCCTTTCATAGTCTCTCTTGCAAGCTGAATGCACGGGCACAAGAACTTTGCTGCCACAAGGCTGAAGGCAGCATATTCTGGCCTCTGCAACAGTCCATCCCGACCAGGCCCTGTCATGGGGGAAAGGATAGTCCTCTGCCTCACCACTGAAGGCCTGGTGGGCCTTGGCTGAGTCGGTGTGTCAGTTTTAGCAGCTGCACTGAAACATTAAAAGGAAATAAGCTGCTTGAGTTCGACTGAAACAGAATTCTCTGCCCTTCTCCTCTAAGGAAGAATAAATCATTTTGGTCGGCCAGACAGGTTTTGTCCAGCCTGAAACCAAATATTCTGCTATGTTTACATGCTAATTTGACCCTGATCTTCCATCTTTAAACAGCAGTTTGGAGAAATATATTACTAATTAATTTTTCCTGCTTCACCAAGTCCCATGTATTTCCTGAAATACCATTTCCTCCTTCTTTTTTTTTTTTTTTTTAAATTTGCAACTGTGCAAAGTGAAGAATCTGCTGGATACTGCTCAGATCTCTGGAGGGACTGTGTCCGACGTTTTTGTCCAGACAACAGCATTTATTGACTACAATGGGCATCCACTCAGTGAACTACTTTAATTCTACTTCCTCAGGTATTCCAAATCCAAGCTGAGGAACACCTCAGCTTGGAAGCGATGACAACGCTAAATGTAACATTCCCCATTATTATCCCTGAGCTGCAAACAGTATTCTCCTACAGTAAATAACTGTTCTTCGACTTGAATAAACAGAGGGCAATGGCAGCCCCGCTGCCGACTTGATGAGAGATGACTCATTTCCCAGGACAACAGCAAAGAACGGTGTATGTGTTAATAACATGGAAAGTCTGGAGGAGTGCGGAGACCTGGGGAAACAGCAGTGAAGTACGTCTGATTTCACTGCAACCGTAACTTTTTGTCTCGTCCAAACCATAATGCCCAGCACAGCACAGACAGGGCCAGTGCTAGAACAATTATGTGGGATAGATGCAAAGACACGCAACGTCATAGTCATTAAATAAATTATACTAATTACATCTGTCACTCTCTGTGGATATTGCTGGAAGGTGGGGAATTTGCTGTCATTTATACCCAGGTATTTTCAACTTACTGCAAAATTGGTGATCAGTGGTTGAGAAGTGTAAGTCAGAACAGATGAGGGTCCAACCAGCGTGTAACTGGGACACATAGGCTGAACATACATATCTGCTGTGTATGGACAGCTGACTGCTTCATGGGGCACATAATCAGGGTAAGTGGTCCACTGAGTTAAAGGCTGTAAGGATGTGGGAGAGGCCTGGGAGATCCATCCAG